AAATTGCTTAGGAGATGCAAATATTAAAACAAAATGGAAATGTGGTAATACTTTTTAATGGACAGATTACACTGAATGACAACTATGAGGTTGCACAATAAAAATTTCACACAGAGGGTAAGTAAAATTTGAGCTGTGTACAGCAGTTGGAACAAATTAATCTGACTTTCCTATGCCATGTATTTGCCCCACAGAACCACAAGAGCCTGAGAATGAAATGTTTGGGTTTTTTCTTTGTTAAATTATAACAGGAAATTTACTTTAACAAAGACAAAAAAAAAAAAAACCCTGTCATTTCCTCAGCTGGAATGGGCATATTATTGAGTCGAGGATTTATTTTCTTAAACAACAAACCACCTTCCTCCCTACTTCTCTCCCTAGTTTATTATTGTTTAGAACAAGAGTGGGATAAGTCAGGGAGATAAGGAGGAGGAGTAAGATGGTTGGTACTTCTAGAGCAGAGTTTTTACCCTTTATCGTGGAGCCACGTGATCACGGAGTGAAAATTACGTGACTGCAGCTACCTGATGTTGTCCTTTAATTCTCCCAACCAGAAACCTCCACAGCAGCCCATGCAGCAATACCGGCACCTGACCCCCTGAGCAGCACCAACATCTCAATGCCTTAAAAAAAACTCTTCAAAAAGGAGGTAAAGTCAAAAGAAGACAGTTGTTACCAGCTTTCCCAGCTTTTTGGTTGGAAATAGGACAACATCTGGGTGCCGGAGCTCAGCGATGAATTTGCGCGTACTGGAAGAGCGCTGCAGCCAGCACGTTCACAGCTGCTGGGCGCACACGGCTCCTTGAACTTGTGTCCCTTACGTGCACCAAAGTAGCCCCGGGGGGCAAGGGATGTCCCTCACGTGCAGCTGAAATCCCTGCCCTGAGGCAAAAGAAGCCTTCTCACCATGAAGTTCCCAGGATTGCCTCTCTGCTGCGCTGCCTGTGATTTTAAGGCAAAGTAAAAGCCAGCAGCAAGTACAAGAGGCTGGCCATGACAAGCGCTTACAGAATACCGCACAAGCTGATTTTTCTTCTGTGATGCTGGAAGAGGAGAGGAACAGCTTTGGGCTGAGATGCTGCAGCTCACAGGTGGGTAACAGAGCACTGGACACCAAATTTGTTGCCTTGGACCACTTCAATACAGCAGCGTCCAATGTTGAATGCACGGTGCCGAGTCCCCTCTCCGCCATAGGCTCTTTCCTCATGTTTTAAGTTGTTTTGCCAACAACTTCAGTCTCTTTTTGGCAGTATTACAGTCTCCATCCCAGACCTCAGTATAGATACAAGCTGAAGAATTGACAAGCTCTCTGCACAAGAGGCAGCAGCCCACAAAACTTAACTTCCCCCCTTTCCTATAAGGTCCTATACAATCCTAATGCTCCAGCATGCGTGTTTCAGCAAAGCCCCTGAAGAGGGGGGGAGGGTCACTCTTTGTATCTTTTCTAATTTGCAGATTTTTTACTTTAATCTCATGGGTAAGTGTTTTGCACTTCTCATTACTAATATTTTAACTTGAATATTTAAAAGTTTTGAACAAAAGTTGTTTCAAATGCTCCTTCTGATGATCACTTCTTTCTCTAGTTTGACTGCTGCGGTTGTTAAATTTTGAAGATGCCCATGTTCTTTTGCTGCACAGTTTGCTCTCTTCTGTCCCGCATACATCCCTCCTCTCCTCACAAGGTACAAATCTGGACCTGTCTCACCACTGCTACCTTGACAAGTCCCACAGAGGAAAGAGATCTGCTGCTCAGTTTCCAATGCTTTCATTTTTTTATTCCCTTCCTCCCGTAAATCACTGCAACTGTGTCTTTCTTCACAGGAACGTGAAGGTTTTGCACGTTCTCCGTTGCCTCTGCCAGCGCCCACCGTGAAGCTCACACGGGGGTTTACCGCATACTGTCACGAGCTACAGCTCGTACCTGCCTTCACCGCCAGCGAAGGTGCTCTGCTACGCCAAGTACGTTTCACTTAGGGAAGTCTTCAACAGGACAGGAATGACTGCAGAAAACCAGCAGCTCTGGAGCAGCAACCGGAGCGGAGCTGGCAGGAGCCTGACCAGAGGTTGGCTGGTCCTGCTAGTTTTTTAAGATCAGTCAGTATCTACGCTTGCAGAAGCGGAAAAGCTGTGGGGCTTGAGGATTTCAGATACCTTTGTCCATAGGAAGCAAGTGAAACCCTGAAACATTTTTTCAACTTACACCACATCCCTTGCCTTCTGCAGATGAAAAGTGCAAGGAAAGGCCGGAGCCCGGGAACAGACTTCCTCCTCCTCTCGCACAGACCAGCCTACTCGGAAGGAAACATCTACTGCTTATCTCCACTTCAGAAAACAGACACAGCCCATGGTGGAAAAACATGGGCAATGGCCAACAAGAACCCCGTGGGCGCAAACAGCAGCTTTGCATCGAAACTGCCTAGTACTCACAGCTGACAACTTGGAGCGCCTCGAGTTTTTTGGAGCCATGCTTTTATGCCGTGCGAGAATCTGGCTCAGGATTCGCATTCGTCACGCTCGCTCGGCAACAGGCAATGCCAGCTCACAAAAATCACCTTCCTGAAAGCGGTGTGGTGGGAGGGCACGTTCACAACGCGCCCTGGCTCTCCTTTGTGCGACTTCTTCTTTCTGAACCACTGGGCACTTGCTGATGTTAGAAGCTTTTCACTTCTCATTTTTTAATGGAAAATTGTCATTCTCAAAAGAGCAACTGCACCAGGAAAAAAAAAAAAAAAACAAAACCAAAACCAAAACCACCGCAACAAAAAAGCCCTCAAAAGCCCATGTTTATTGTCAAAGTCTCTAAAATTACGAGATTTGACAATAAGGCTTTTGTTCTTATGAACACATGCAACGAGGCAACATGCAGCTTGATCTCTGCAGCCAGTAGGTATTCAAAATACTTTCCACATAGAATAGGTGTCAATTTGACTTTATTTAAGGAAAAACGGGGAAAAAACAGTAATTTCCATAATACACAGAAGACAAGTTAGATAGCACTGCAAAAAAAAGGCTGAGTGTTTTACTTGTCACCAGTCTGCTTTGCAGCTCTACGATTAGTAATTTTAATGCAGTTTGTCATTTTGTATTATTGTTTAGCATCTTTATAATCAGCAGAATTTGGGGTTATAAATCACAAAAAGTGTACTACTACTACTATGAAAAACTAAAAAACCCACAAAAATCACTTTCAAATAAACCATAAATATGTGATGCACATTAGTGTAACAAAACCATTTTTGTAAACATTTTCTCCAACATAACATGTGCATAAGATAAAAAATAAAAACACTGCAGTCATACAAGTTAGGGTTACTTTGACTTAAGATACAGAAAATTATTACTTATTAAAGCTTAAAACTAAACCTAGGAGCTTTTCTTTTCTTCTTTGCTTACAAAAGCACTGTTTGAAGAGTTCGGTGTTGGTATACGTAGTGGTTTCGTAATACTGTTTTTACCTTGCCGCGTTGGCACTTCTGCGGAGGCAGAAGCCGCCAGGCGGGCAGCCCCACCGAAGGAAGGAGATTCTCTCCCCCCCCTCCCCACGGAGCCTCAAAACTTCAACAGCACGTATCCGTGACCTGGGCATCCCTACCGTACTGGAGCATCTTCCTCCAGGTGAATAGCATCAGCTTTCAAGGACTAGATTAATTTTTGACCACATAGCGCTGGAAGATTTAAATCACGCAGACTGACATTCGATCGAATCGGCTTCGGCAAACTACACTACAGGGCAGCTGTGTGATTACACCCACGTCTACCATCACGTTGCGTTTCTGAGTCCCCTTGAGTTCATTATAGTACAAAAGGTTGATCGTTCTTCTGGCTGACCACACCGGGCCTGAAAAGAACGCATCCTTCACCTTCAACGCTATCCAAAAGTCATACAATTAAAAAAAAAAAAATAGTTCTAAGTATTCCTCCGCCAGCAAATGTAAGGCTTTCTTGAGTTTTGATTCTTTTGGGGGGTGTGGGGGGTGTGTGTGCACGCGCGTGCGCTGGCGGTACGCATTTACCGCTCGCTTTTCAACTGTCCACCGTATTCGAAGGAGAGTCTTCAGCAGCAACGCTGATGAGGGTTGAAGGATTTACAGCAGTCAGATTTGACACCAAAAGAAGGGTCTGTTGAGTCTGAGCTTTGCACACTCGGTGCTCTTGGCTCTTAAATTGATTGTGTGACCAGTCGCTCGAGCCATCAGCTTGACTGAATTGAAGAATACGTGTTTAAAAAGCCCTACCTGTCATGCCATGAAGGAAAGTTAACCGCAGCAGAAGACAAAGCCCATGAAACACTGAGAGCCTGTTCACCGAATGAACAGCTTAAGGCAGCTGTCAACAAAGTACCCCACCAAAGGACTTGGGAAGGAAGGAAAAAAAAAAAAAAAAAGAAAACAAAGTGGAAACAAAAAGGAAAATGGCTGAATTGTGACACTGTGCATTATTACAACACCAACGGATTATTATACACTCAAGGTTTCTCAAGTAATGAACATGTAGCCATTAAACAAATTATTACTCTCAAGACATTTATTACAAATGTCAGAACTTATTCATAAAATAAAACTGACTTAAAAAAAAAAAAAAAAAAGAAAAAAAGCCAGATCTGGGATCTTACATCTAAACACAGGTATACGCTGTTTTTATGAATAAGCAGTATTAACTACATTCTTAAAAGAGTTTTAGTGCATTGCATTCTTAAAAAAGAAAAACATCACCGCCCCAAAATGGTTCCTACAACATTTAACAGTTTACAGAACTAGCCTAGTTATTTTTACCTGCCTGTTACTAAGCCCACGCGTTAGAAGAGTGAAACCTCTGGTTTTAGGCTAAATTCAGACTTCTATTAAGGATGAAACTGGTTTAAAAAAATGCTTGCTTTACCAAATTTTGTAAGCAAATTACATTAATCAGTGTCTCACTGCCATACCGCTACCACTATTGCCCCAATGGACCACTCTCTCCTCCTGCT